GTTCTCACGCAGATCACCCGTCTACGTGCGCCTCGTGATTTCAGGTCGATAGCCGTGACGTCAGCGCGGATCGCGAGATGAAGTTCAAGGTTACCCCGCTCGACTACACAGCCCACGCGCCCGCCATGATGGAAAGCGGAAGGAGAGCGGGCGAATTTTCTCGGCTCTGGGAAATGCGCTTTTTCCTCCATCCACCCCTAAAGTAGCAATTTTCGCCGCGTTATCCACTCCCAATAGAGAACACCTCCGGCCATTTTACTCCCACTGAATTATTTCCCCTAAACTCCGAAAATACCCTGATGCCCGTCACCTACATCCTCCTAATTTTTCTTTCTCTCTGTCACTCTGTATCTTAGTTGAAAATTAAAATCGAAAAAACTCCCAAGATCTCGCGGAATGCGCTTCCGGGCGGAAGCTGTAAACCACGTGCGCCCGAGGTTTCGCAACGAAGTGTCAAGAGTGACATCATTACCTCGGCTGGAAAATCGAGGATATGACGAGAATTCTCGCGAAGACTCGGTGAGATCGAGTCCGTTTAATTATGCCGATATCGGCCTAAGCGCCGCGTATGCACACTTGCTTCTTTATAACCGGCCGCGGGAAACAATAATTGCGCAATCGTTAATCGAGGTTGCGCGAATGTCACCGTTGAGGTCGAGTCTCGTATACACATGTATGCGTGCACATATATGCACCTTTTTTCCCACCCCGCGTAAACTAGCCGTTTACGTGCGTACAGCGCCAACGATGACTCTCTATTTCCGATCGAATCGGCCGGGAGCGCATATTTCCGGATAGGAGGAAGTTGCGTCACTTCGAGGCGAGATAACGAGTTTCCAAAGGACGACTTTCAGGAGTTAGCGCGAGTCCAAGAGGGGCAAGAGAGCGGGGTTACAAGATGTCGGAAGGGTTTCTATCGCCGGCCGCCACGGCCTTCTCGAATCTAGTCCGCTCTTTCCCCCTCCTTTGAGGTTAGGGTATTCGGGTTGGCACGCCCGGACGCGACGGCCTTGAACTTGGCCGGCCCGGAGCTCGAGGAGTCACCCCTTCTCGGACTCTCGGACTCGTCCGGAGCCCTCTATCGGGGCACCCCTAGCCTCCTCCTCCGCCTCGTGACCGCTCCCTGAGGTCGCAACCCCCAGTAGCGATTGGTGCCAACTGAGAACTGACCTACTCAACTCGCCTCGGCTTCGATAAGTGACGTCTACCGAGGACGCGGCCCGCAAAACGAGCTTAACACCTCCGTCTTACATGACAACTTATTTCTACTTCGACCTCTATCCCCGGCGCCAGTTCCCAGCCGCTCGTTTCCACAAAAATCGGAAATCAAAGCGATTCCACATTTCTCGAATCCGGCCGAACGTAGCCGTTCATTTCCCGTATTCCCGCGCCTAGCAGTCGTAGCTTCTCCTAAGATGCATTTCCCCGTCGCTCCCGAGTCCAGGGTTAAGGCGTATCCGCTCGAATTCCGCGAAAGATGCGCCCTCCCCGGGGGCGCGGGGAACCCCTCGCCCTGCGGGGTCGGCTGTCTATGTATAACCACTTGCCCGTGACCAGCAAGGACCTTGGCCATGGCTGCTGAACGGCCGAGGATGCCAAGCCGCGGGACGGTGTGCGACGGTGCGCGCGCACCCCGCTCGATGCGCCACCACCTAGGAGGCGTCGCCTCTACGTGCACCGGTTGCTCGTGTATGCACGAGGCCCGGGAGCGCGCGACCGACGTACAGAGGCCGACCTTGACCTTACGCTCGCCGTCCGCGGCAAGGTCTCGCCCTGTGGGACGGGGGGCGCGGACCAAGGTCGCCCCCACGGAAATACCGCCGGCTTTCCGCCGGGAAATTCGGTTAACCTCCCCTCGACCCAGCTAACCCCGATCGAGTCTTCCCACGCGGTCCTCCCGGTAAACGAATTACTCCCCGAAACCGTCCGAAATTCGCTCAGCCCACCTCGACCGGGGTAGCGTGGCGACGCTCCTATCCCGTTCCACCGTGGCCAATCCGTTTGAAAGCCTACCTCCAGGACGCTATAACTCGATCGAGAGACCCAAGACACGCGCCTTCCCATTCCCAGAAGAGCCGACAATGGTCCCGTCACTCCACCTCTTTATAACTTCTTCCAAGAGACGGACATACTTATCGGTCGCTCGCCGCTATGCCGACTCCCTCGTAACATAGCGTCCCTCCTCGCACTCGAGTTTCAAGGCCATGAACCTTGAGTCATACGACCTCCACCGGTACCCTCCTCGCTCGGTATCGCCCGAGAGCAGCGTCGTCTCCTCGTGGACGTCCACGCGACGTCCGCGCCACGTGGCGCGGCACGCCGCGTCGAAATCGTCCACCTCCTGCCTCCACCTCTCCCCCCGGACTATGATTTTGCAAAAACCGAGCAAGGTCTTAAGCTCCCCCCCGCGATAACACGAAACTCGTGGCATACGACGCTACCAACAATTCCGCTTGAAAATCCTCTCAGAGGTCTCCTCTTCCCAGCAAGTCGACAACTAATGACTATCGGACTACACACGGGAATCAATAGGTGCATTCAGAGTAGACAACTGTTGAGTGATCGGTTAGCGCTCATCTGCTGAACGGGTACGTTCACTCAACACGTTTACCGATCAGACCAATCAGATCGCATTTTCAGGAGAAACCGCAACATGTTCCCAACTCATCGGTAACCGCTTTTCTCCTCTGAGTTCCCCCAACGTAAACGATTCCCTTTGATCTCATATCATAAACGACAATGTGACTGGTTAACAAGTGTCGATGTTTCGGGTGACAACCCTCGATTTCCACGGGATTTCGGGTATTAAAATCGATCGTTTACTCCGTGAAATAACCCCTCGAGTCTAACCGCACGTCGCTCATCTCGTTACGCAACGACGTTACCACTAAAATCGTACTTAGCCGAGTCTAACGTAACGACTATCGTGTCCTTTCAACGAGTAACGTTAGGCAGGAATTACTCTAGAATTGGTCGCGTCATCTACCGGCGAGGTGACGAGCCCCCCCCGTCCCGCCCAACGAAAGGGAGACGTAGCACAGCGAGCACACGTAAGTCAACGAAACGCTCGTCGTCGAGTTGGCTCGCGAGAGATCTCGGCACACGGATAAAACTCCGCTCCTTCCCTCCTCGGGGCTTTACGCCCGTGTTTAGCGACGCGTCGACCTTGGCCTTGACATCGACCGCAGCGTCCCGACGCTACGCAGTTGCATCGGAGAGAGAGCGCGTTCGATGCGCGGGACGGAACGGGACACGGAGGCTCGAATTATAATAACCGAGCCCGATGGGAGAGGGGGCGTCGCGACGCGCGGGGAACCCCTTGGGACGCCATCTTCCCCGCCTCTCCCCCTTAGGTACACCCTCGAGCTCCAAGATCAAATGAAACGTCTAAATTTCTAGAACTTCCGGAAAGTAGGTGGACTTCTTATCGCGCATTTTTCCCACGATACAAGAAATAAAGGAAAAAAAAAAAGGTAAAAAAAGAAAATCAACAGGCACAAAGGAAGATGCAAACTCGTGGCGTGCATTTTGCTTATATGCACGTGGGCTCGAATACGACACTCCTAATTCCCGCGACACGCGATATCCCGGCTCGGAAGTGAACGAAAGGGAGATAGGAGAGAGACAGCGCTAAATAAAGGGGGAGAGATTAATTCGAGGAGGGTATGGGGCCGGGCAGAAATCCACCGGTTGGAGAGGGCGGCCGGAATTGCCATCGTTATGCCGAAATTTAACGTGTCGTCGGCAGGAAATAGTCCAAGGTCGTGCCTTCCCCCGGCGAGGGGGGGGGGGGGGGGGACGGAATAGCCATCTCGGAGAAATACGACTTCGATCCGCGATAATAAACGGTTGGACGGGTCTAGGACTGGGTCTAAATTCAGACCACTTGTGAATTCTCCGTCGTGAAATTAAGTCGGGCTCGAGTCGAGATCCGCGCGTTGTGGCTCGCCGTCGTTAACATAATGTCGGCACCTTCCCCTCCGCCTGTTTGTATTTTGTTTTTACGTGGAATAAATCCGCGAACCGTAGACCCTTTAACGTCCGTTCCGCAATTGGACTGCCATTAACCTGGATAGCTAACAGTTGCTTCAAGGGTGGTCAACCGCACCTTAGCGGAAGGCCAGGTTGTCGCAGCTGGCGATAAAGGATCGATTCGGGCGGCGCAAATGTCGGCTTTCCCTCGAGGTGGGAACTCGAAAAGCACGCGGATATACACGCCCCGCACACGTAGAGGGGCCGTGTAAAGCGGTGCATTACGTACGTAAGCAGGGTTGCTCGAAATAAAACAAGGTCAAGTTTAACCAAGGCCGCGTGCCGATAGGAGTATCGGCCCCCGAGACGTAATGCCCGGGCGAGGGCACGTATTAATACATTTCTCTAACGACTGGAATGACTTATCCCCCGGGACTCGTCCATCCCTGCATTCCGACGATACCCCCCGAGAGTTCCCGCGGGATGTCACCCCCCTTTTCGAACTTTTTCATTCATGAATTTCCTTTTTTTCTCTCGCGCGCCCGGCCTCGGTCAACGGCGGCGGGGCGCGTGGCCGTAGCCCTTAATTCCCCTCGGCAAGGAAACAGGAAGCGGATCGATCCAACGGCTCTTCCTCGTGTCGAGGCGAATCGGCAAACAAAATGTGACGCTGTTCCAGGCGTATCTCCGACTTCGGCCTTCGTTCGTTCCACCGCTCGTCGTATAAGTCGAGTCAAAGTGCAAGGTGACTGCGACGCGTCGTAAAATAACAGATTACCGTGTCCCCCGAACGGTCGCGGAGTCGATTCGGTTTGCGCATCTCGGACACGTGTCCTCGACGAAAGGAGAGCCTGAAACAGCGGTTTTCCCGAGGTCCCCTGCTCCTGGAAAACCAAAGCAGCAGCGGACGCCGGCGACCTCCTCGTGACCATCCCGTGGAAATAAACCATGTTTCCGGAACGAGCGACGTGCCTTGAAAACCTTGCCAAAGAAAGGTCCCGCGACAAAAGTTCGGACGTAACTTCGTACTTTTCATTTCGTTTCTTTAGCTTCTTTTTTTTGTTCCATACCACAAGGTATTTCCTAGCCGATGTATAATTGATGCGCCGTGTTTCGCATGCGGTGTGTATCGCGGCCCGTACGAATAAAATCTGGCACGTAGAACCGGATGAGAAATGGACTTGAGGAATAAAGCGCCGAGTGCCAAGGGAACTAAACGAGCGCCCCGCGATCGTGGCGCGTATACGTTGTCGAGTTCAAGGAGACTCGAGGGAAGGGTGGGCGCAGCTTTAAAAAGTAAACCCCCGCGCAACACCCGAACTGGCAGAGATGCATAACTGCCGCTGCGCGAAAGACATAATGCCGCTTCCTGGGCCCACCCAAGTTAATTGCGTGGGAACTGGTCTCTTGGCACAGGCACGTGTTTGTACCCAATATCCCAATTAAAAATATAAATACATCGTGGCAAGTTACAGCTTTAGCCGTCGCGCCGATGACACACCATGTCGGAAAACGTGGCTAGTCCGGGAAAAGTCAATGGGATTCCCTCACTGATCGTCACCTTTTCAACCCGTGCCTTTCTATTTGTGCTTCTTTCCCTTCTTGCTGTTCGACGGCTTAGCCTTGCCCTTGGAAGACGGCCTTCCGGCCCGGACCCTCTTCCCGCGACTCTTCATCTTCCTCTCCTTGGTCTTCACCGCTCGTTGGTCCTTCTTCATTCGCGGGTCCACCACTTTGTATCGACCTTTGACTCCAGCCGGCCTTCCGACCCTCTTCTGCGCGGAGTGTTTCTTCGCAACCACGTACGTCACCTCCTTCTTCGGCTCCTTGCCCGCCTTCTTATACAACCTGTAACGACGATATGCCTCAAAATGATTAGATCTCTTAAATGAACCTAAGGCTAAATCAATGCATGGAGTAATAACGTACGCTTTGACTTGTTTGGCCTTCTCTCTGTCGGTGATGTCGTTGCTGTCCATTAACGCCTCGACTTTCTTCTTCGCCTTCTCCAGTTTCTTCAGGGCTCGTCGCTTCTTCCTGGCTTTGGCCTCCAGCACCTTTTTGATCGGCCTTACATTCAGCTCCTCGACCCTCTTCTTGTACTCGTCGACGAGCTCCTTCGGCACCGGGGCCTCTACCTTCATGTGCTTCTCCTCGTCCTGGGCGAACCAGTCGGGTAGTTTCTCGTCGTTGAAAGCGTACCTATTCCAGGCAGCGTCGATCAGATCCCGCCGTGCTTTCTTGCTCTGTATCATCATTGCCCCCAAAGCCAAGTCTTCATCCTTTAATTTCCTTTTGCTCTTTGGTTTCGAAACTGAAATGGAGGAACAAAAACCATGCGTGAAGCAGTTTTTGAGAATTTAATTAGCTGAAATGTCACTTGAGAAACGGAGTTACTTACGTGTGTCCTTCGAAACAACCTCGAAGCCCTGCTTTCCGCCGATCTTTTGGGATTTCTTCTGGGAACCCATCATTTCCTCCACGTCATAGTCTGATCCCGAATCACTGCTAGACTCTTCCGAATTGTCCGTTTTATCTTCAACCTCGGTTTCCTTTGAATCTTCGTCACCATACAGTCGTCCACCTTTCTTTTTATGCTCCTCCACCATCCTGTCAACTTCGAAGTCTTCGTCCTCTTCGTTCTCCAATTTCTTGAAAACTTCTCGTTCGAACCATAGCTCAGCCTTCTGAATCTTCTTTAACTTTTTATCCCTGGGGTCTAAATCGGTGATCAAAGGATTCTCTTCGCCATCTTCGTCCTTACTGTTTTCTTTGTCATCGTCTCTACTGGCCTCGTCTTCCTCGCTTCCACTTAAACCTAATCCTGATGTCACACTATTGGAGTCTTCTAGTTCAGAATCCTCAGGGTCGCTCTCTTCTTCTTTGTAGTAGAGACCCTTACTGTCCAGGTGCCCCGAATCCTTCTCGTACCTTATTCTCTTTGGCTTACTTCCTCCATCATCGGAATCGTTATCGCTCTCTGCTACCATATCAGGAGTTTGATTTGTTACGGTATCCAATTGTTGATGGGTCTTTATTTCATTCAAGTTGAACATTTCATCGCCTTCCAATATAGGACCCTCGTCTCCTTTAAGCACCATCTTCAGATTCAATTTCTCATTCAACTTCTGCCTTTCCTTGTTGATCTTCTTTTTCTTCCGTTTAAAGTCTCTAACCTCTTCAGCCTTAAGTTCAGCAATTTGTTCTTCAATCTGTGCAACCTCCTTTTCTTCTTCATCCTCCTCTGACAGTTTTACTTCCTCCTTGTTGATCTCTGTGGCTTCTACCAGGCTTTCTTCAGGTTTTTTCTCATTAAATTGTTCACGCAAAGTCTTCCACCAGGAAAGTAACAATCTCAATTCTTTCCGACCTAGTACTTTAATATCTTTACAACACTCTTTTATTTCTTTTGTCGTGTTTACATGATTAGTCACTCTTTCATCATCAATTATTATTTCGGAAGCATGCTGCAAAATTTCTACACCGGTTTCACTTGCTAGAAAATCCCGAACAGAAACTTTGTGATGCAAAGTATAATCGTTCTCTGGATAACCCTCAGCTTTACTTTTTTTCTGCTTTTCGGGGTGGAAAATATTTAATTTACTAGAAGATTTTACTTCTAACTGTGAGAAAACGTATTTTGGGTCTAAAAACTTTGGATCTAATTTATCAGGTGCAATGTAATATTGGCAAACAACAAATATCTCCGCAGATTCTGTTCTTGATGCCTGAGGCTTTGTCGCATGAACCTATACCAAAACAAAAGAATAGATGTAACAAATATCCTACAAGAACATACTTTATATCACAATTAAAAATAACCAACCTTTTTGAACAATTGTTTCAAGACCCAGATTAATGGATGATAATCTGTAGACCGAAACACTTTAGTAATAAACCATCCTCCAGATCTCAGAAACTGCGTTGCCACTTTAATAGCTGCAAGTGTCAAGACTGCCTGCTGATAAGCATCGTGCAGCCAATTTTTGCCTACATTAGGGGCTCCGTCATTTAAAACGACATCCGCTTTCCACGTTTTGAGCTCTCGAGTTATAGCAACGCGACATTTATCAGTCGTAATATCTTCAACTAAACTGATACAGCCTGGAATAGGCTTAATCGGAAACAAGTCGACTCCAATCACAACGGAGGACACTGGCATGTTCTGTCGAGCAACTTGCATCCATCCTCCAGGCGCAGCACACAAATCGATGCATACGCGAGATTTTTGAAGAAACTCAAACTTTCTATTGAGTTGAATTAATTTGAACGCAGCTCGAGATCTATAACCTGGGAGAAAAGATACATCAAAGTCAAATATATACAAATAACTTACAAATAACCAAACATAAATATTGTCGGCATGGTGCTTGCGATCGACCATAACCTCCACAGGAAATATTCGTATTTACCTGTCTCCTTGGCTAACTGGTAGTATTTATCCTTGCGCTGCTTCCCAATTTTTGACTTCTTCCCCATTTTTGTCAAGAATCTTTATTTCAAAGCGAGATATTTAAACAATTCATTAAAGTTATGATACAACACGTGAACGTTAGAGGTTACCTTTTCTGTGCCAGAGAGTAGGAAATTAGAATACTCATGCTCCGAGCTTCGTCGCCGGTTGCAAAGCGTGTCACCTAGCGACGATATATCGAAACTGATCTATGTATATATAGATATATTTCTTATCCATGTCAGGTTCAGATGTATCTACGAAACAATGTGCATGGACATTCTCTGATACTCTCTTGTACTCTCTGGTTGAAGTTTTTGTATAGAAAGGATAATGTTCACGAGTTAACCTCAAAACGATCTACGGAGGGGCCGAAGTTTCTAATTAAATTACGATTCGCACTTTGGATGGGACACTATGGTGTTGTGCCGGTATTTTCAACAAGGCAATTGCCGCTTCGGGCAATACTGTCGCTTCGATCACATCAACAATTTTGCAAGTAAGGTTAATTGGTTCCCTTCAAAATGTAGTTTTAGATTTAATATCTTTAACACTGGCATTATCGTTGTTTCATTTTTCATTCAGACGGAAACCAAGCACCGAGAAATAAGATTTATGTGGATAACAAGAATGCAGCGTAAGTCACGATAAATATTGCATTTTGTCGTAATTCTGAAACAATCTTCTCTAATCGGCGAACGTTCCAATAGTTTCATGGTTGCCCACGAAGTGTTCGCCGCAGAGCAAGGAGGGCAATGGCTTCTGTCATGCTTTGGACCATTCAAGGAACAACCATGCATTGCTGGCATAGAGGATTTATCGCCAGAAGAAGTGCGATGGGAAATGTATCAAGCCCAGAAAAATGGAACTGTAGAACAGACGGTATGATTCAATTTATGGCAAGGAATAAGACTTTTGGCCTGGGACTTTATGATATTAAAGTTTATGAAATTCTTTGCAGAAATTACAGTTTCAACAGTTGTGTCACGAGATGAAAACGAAACGAGATGCTTTAAAACAACCTACCGCAGAGATAGTCTCGATGTTGGTTCGTAATCTTATATCTGTCTTTTGTATCATTCAGTTGAATTTAATTATCATACTGTATTTTTTAGGAACAGTTACAGAAAGGTACCCAAAGCAATAACGGGTTTGGTGCGAATGTTAACACACCTGCAAAATCGAATTTCTTCTCAACTCCACAATTGGGTATGCCAACAAGCAACACATCATCTTCAAACGTTTTTCGCAGCAAGGTCTTCGGATCTATGGCAAACCCATTCAGTGGAGGTTTCAATTCAACACCAGCAGCATCTCCATTTGGGAGACCAGTGGGCACTAATACTAACTCAGCATTTGGAGCGAAGCCAGCCTTTGGTAGTGCACCAGTTTTTGGTACCACGACCAACTCATTATTTGGTGCAAACAAGAGTTCCACAGTGTTTGGATCTGCACAAAACACTCAGGCTTTTGGTTCGACCACTCCGCAAAGTAACACAGTATTTGGTGCAGCTCCTACTCAGTCTGTGTTTGGACAATCAACAGCATTTGGAGTATCCAATCAATCTAATAGTCCATTCTCCAGACCACAAACAGCACAGCCAACAGGCTCTATCTTCGGGGGAGGAGCCACTCCCACTACGAATTCATTATTTGGTGGAGCTGTTGCACCTCAGTCTTCGCCTGCTCTCTTTGGAGCCACTTCTGGCACTCAAGGTACAATGTTCAGTACCACCGCAACTAGTCCACAAGTCGCTGCTCCTATCTTTGGCTCAGTTACTACTTCGGTCACCAGTGCACCTATAGGAGCTCCATCGATGTTTGGCCAGCCAAAAGCCACAGCTGCCTTTGGTGGTGCTCCGGTCTTTGGAGGAACCGCAAACTTCGGCTCAAAACCCGGTGGAGCGGTATTTGGAGGACAGCCCACTTTTGGTGGGTCTCCAATAGCCACTGGTAACATCTTTGGAGGATCTACTGCAAACACGGCCGCCTTTGGAACGACTGCAGCAGCTCCTGCTTTTGGAACTAGCGCTGCAGCACCTGCCTTTGGTTCCGGATCTGTTACTCCATCCTTTGGATCGGTTGTTCAGACCAACAATACACCCTTTGGAGCAAACCCTGTCACCACCTCTAGTATATTTGCAGGTTCTCAGGGCTCTTTCGGAGCAGGAACTACCACGGCTGTCACGTCACCCTTTGGAGCCACGACAACCACAACTACCCCTTCCTTTTCTGCCTCCAGTGGACCCTTTGGACAAACCACTATGGCACCTTCTCCGTTTTCCAGATCTACCCCTTTTGGTACCACTTCGGCAGCATTTGGAACCACCACTCCCTCCTCTGGAATGCCTTTTGGCTCTTCTCAGACCCCTTCAGTTTTCGGCACTGCTGCAAATAACAGTTCCTTTGGCTCATCTATCTTTGGTGGTGCACAAAGTACTCCTTTCTCCAACACCAGTACTACAGTTACTACTACTACTACATCTAATCCGTTCGCCCCAAAACCTCAACAGAACACTGCAGTCTTTGGAACACAGAATACTTTTGTTTCCTCTGCTACCAACAGCCCTTTTTCAAAGTCGCCATTCTCTTCGGCCACCTCATTTGTGGAACGTCTCGATGACACTGTTTATAGCATTGAAGGACTGCTGACAGATGACGAGAAGAATATGTATTTATCGGAGCAATTTGTCTTTGGCAAGATTCCCACGAAACCACCCACTAAGGAACTCAGGTAACTCGTTAACGTAATAAAAGTAGGTCCACTGGTGAATAAATTGTTGCTCTGATAATAGCATAGAATTGATAGTGTCATATGCATCAAACTATAAATATAATTAAAAGAGTATGCACTTGTTCCGTGAAACAAAGTGATTGTCAAAATGAGAAAGTATTTTCTTGATTCAATGATACCAAATAATTATTGTACAGTAAGGTTACAAAAATCAATTAACATCAATTCCATGAAGCACTTGTGTATCTTGACTGTCTAAAAGATAAACATAAATAACATCCTGTATAGAACTAATTAAAATTGGAAAATAGGAGGAAATGACAGCTTATCTATTATTAATAACTTCGATTATGTATTAGTAAATTATCCATGTATAGATAGAATAAGGTTTGTATATTATAAGACTGTTTTTATAGATATTTACTTGCTCCTTTGATTGTACAGAATAAATTAAATGTTTAATCTAATTAAAGCATGATTCATGCCATCATTATCCAATTTCTCACGTTTCAGTGACAAGGGATGACCGTTATAACTGGCAGAACAATCGTTATATCTTACACAGTTGTTTTGCTTTCAGCTTTTTTAGCTCGTGGTCTGAACTTTGACTTTTCTCGGGAACAATGTGCATGGCTGTGAGCACGTAAACTGTTAAAAACTTTGTTGTTTAATTTGACATCGAAGCCACCCGTATCACCAGTCTGAATGCCAGGTGGAAATTCCAAAACTCTGCAGGCATTGATTCTTGAAGACATAAGTAAGTCATGCTTTGTAACTATTTCAGAACCCTCTCCTACTTTTTTGTAACCGCACCGTGGCATTGTAGCATATTCTTTCTCCACTTGCTACAATTAAAAGATAGATGTAAACATGAATAAAAAATTTAATTCCTACTCCGAGTATTAAACTATAATTAAGTTAATTACCACAAAACGGTCAAAGTCTCTGGTTCTGTCGTCTAAGTCAGGCTTTTTCTCTTCGAAGTCTGGCACGAGAGAAGCACGATAATTACAGTAAGAGATACCAACTGCAAAATGAATAAAGTGAGTATTTCTTGTATATCTCATTAAACCTTGACTAACTACCTTTCGAGTTGCCATTAAACTTTTCCTCTGAACGTTTCAGCATTACATCGTGTTCATGATTAAATTGAGCCTGTAACAGATGGGCGATAACTCCATCGCTATCAGTGCCATCCGTTTCAAACAATCCACATTCTTCTTGAACAACCTCTTCTGTTGTCGATATCTTTAGTTTTCGTAGTTCTCTGTAAACAATATTTTTTTTACGTTTATCTTGAAACGTAGAAAGGAGTACTTCCTAAAATCTGCACTAATGTAAACTTACTTTTCTTCAAGATCTTGAGCGAGTTGTTCGGAAGTTATGTCGAGAAAATTTGTAGGTCCCTCGATTGGTTCAATCTTGGCCCATGGCGATGACATTCTAAATAATTTATTACATGAATGTCGTAACCTTGTCATCATTGGTAGCAAATATAATTTTAACATTACCTTTTATGCTTGAAAACGTTCTTCGAAGCAATTTGAAGAAATGGCAGGCAAATGTAAACACGTACACGTTAAAAATTGGAAACCAATAATAGTAACAAAATAAATATGAAATGAGGAACCAAAGTATTAACAGTCAGATACAGTCAGACGTGATTAAAGACGTCACGTCTGTATAATGGGCAGAGAGACAGGATTGGATAAGTAAAATACCCTAGGTAATTTAGGTAGTTTTTTTTACAATAAATTACTAGGTATTTTACGTCTCGTAGGTCTTGACAGGTTTGGGGTCAATGAGTTGCGCCGCCACTGAGGTGTAACAGGTGGCAAGTGCGTTAGCTGCTCGTACTAACCACCAGGGAGCAGCACAGGACGCGATCGCGCGACCCTGTCCGTGAGCAATCTCTCAACTCATCTCTGCCACAATTTGCGAGGTGAAACAAGTAAGGAGATGAATTCTGTGTTGGATAATATTAGTTAAAAGCCGGTTAATAGTGCCGCAAATTGATATTAATCAATTTAAAGGACCAATTGGAAAGGAGGACTATTTTTTACCAGCGTTGGCCTGGTAAGTTCCGATGAGGCTTCGACTGTTAAATTCTTTCCGCCGACTCCTTTGTGATGGGCCGATGAAAGCCTGCATTTCGGCAACCAGAGATATTTTCCCGAAATATACAACTGATAGTTCGTGATAGCACTGACATTCACTGCGGAAGGTACGCTACAATATATCGTACTTTCAAGTATTCGTAAGATAGCTTGGTAGATGATACCGAATGTTTTATGTAGCTCCTAACCTTAATGTGTAATGTTATGAAAAGTGAATAAAACTCATGTCGAAAAGCAATGACATCTGTGAGGATGTCTTCGCTATTATCTAGGTTTCTTTTTTTATGTCGGTAGAGGACCAGGTTCGATTACTATCATGAACAGGTCCTCCGGTACGACAGGCAGCACCGAGAAGGCAGCGAACAACCCGTTGGAGCAGTTCGTCCTGCTGGCTCAGACTGCTAAAGGTGCCGCAGCTCTTGAACTTATAAAGCAGGCCGTCGAGACACCCGGGGTCCATGTCTTCGGAGAACTATTGGATATGCCGAATATTAAGGAGCTTGAGAACGGTCCACATGCCGAATACTGGAACACCTTGGCGCTTTTTGCTTACGGGACGTACAAGCAGTACCTGGAGAATAAAGATAAGCTCTTGGAGTTGACCCCCATTCAGCGGAAGAAGCTTCAACATCTGACCATCGTCACGCTGGCTACGAAGTCGAAGTGTATACCCTACTCCGTTCTTCTGGAAGAGCTCGGCATAAAAAATGTCAGAGACCTGGAGGACTTGATAATCGAAGCCATATACGCCGACATTATCCATGGGAAACTGGATCAGAAGAATTCCCAGCTCGAGGTGGACTACGCGGGTCTGGGAAGAGACGTCAGACCAGGAGATGCCGCTGCTGCTGTGGAGACTCTTGAAGCCTGGGGTAGAGCGTGCGACGCGATGTTGGCCTGCATCGATCAGCAGGTGTTGCGAGCTAACAGCGAGAAGCAGAAGGCGACCCAGCACAAGGACAAGATCCAGCGAGAAGTGAGCGAGTCCAAAGCTTCATGGCTTTAGTTGTTAACGACAGACGGCGCATCCTATCTCCGGCTTGACGTCATTTAAGATTTCCGTTGCAGATCTCGAATATAAAGAAATCGCTTGCGGCGCAGGCGGGTGGCGGAGGCGTTCAGGAAGCTGATGCAGCGGCGGGAGGAACAGGATCGGGTGGCAGTGAACCCGGTAGGGAAGCTCTGCCTCCGGATTCTAAAAAAAAGCAGCAGAAAACCAAAGGTATCCGAGGCAGCGGTAAGTTTTGGAAGTCTTGAGAGAGAGTCCCCGTCGAGCCTATTAGGTCGGACGCTGCGCTTACGATACTGCCTAGGATACCGCACCTAAATCTCGGAGCTGATCCCTCGACTCCTGCGGGAGAGACGTGCCCCTGTGGGACCGATCGGTGCGAAGCTGGTGCGCTCGCAAACGAAAGGACTTTTACCTCGAGCATCGATCCCAGATCGCGACCGGTAGACTAGTCCGTACTCAAAGCGGTCGCACGCCGACCTGCGGATCGCTAATTTACCGTCAACCATAAGCTTACAATTATTTGTCAATTCAGGTTCTACTCGGCTTAGGGACGAGTATTCGATAATAATTTAATAAACCCACGCTGTACATCGGATCTGTCTCGCTCTCCATCGAACTACTCCGTGTTCTAATGCGCTCCGAGCTGACCCCTGTCCACGAATCACCGCCCACCTTTTACAAAATACATCTGCATCGTCCAGTCCATGCCTGTACAATTATCCTAGAAACGAAAGACGCCTAATGCTCCATGCGGCGGCGTTACGCAATTTACTAACGGCGTAATTTATGCGCGCGTATTTTTTTTAATGCGAATCCGACGCCAGCCAAGTACGAGCGCTCGTTCATGCGCGACTTGCAACAGGCCGATGGAACCGAGCCTCCTTGTCTTTTTCACATTACGTAATGGGAATAAACCTCGCATTATAATTTAAGATTATGACAAAAGCGCTCTCCCGTGAGCGGCCTTTTTATGTGGGTGTGCATTTAACCGTGGCGGTAAACGTACGTGTAATCGTACTAGCGCCGATTCCGTAACACATTCACGGTCAATGGTATTACGGATATGAGGCGAGATATTGTTAAACGGACACATCCGTGTAGGCGGCGATGCCTTTGACTCGTTCCGCCCTGCAGTTGCTCAGATCCTGGTCGGGTGTTTTCCTTTCCTCGAGGAAAAACCGGCTGAACTTGAGTCTACTTTCGTTGCGGCCGACCACGTCTCGGAACCCGTTCTAGAGAACATTTAGTGGGGCTGCAATCTGAGTCGGGATAACTAGCGCTTGGCCGCTCCTCGATCGGTCGTCGATTTTTTACTGCGAGTTTGACGATTCCTCGGTCGTTGTTTACATTAAGCGATTGAGAAGAGTTGGTCAGCGGGGGTGGAAGAACGCGATGCCACCCTGAAAACGACCTCTGGTCTGGATACGGATTCGAAGGTGGACAAGGCTGGTAAACTAACGACGGAGCAGCACCAGGTGGTTGGAACGCGGCTTGGTACCACGCTCTGGTAAGGGAGGAACCCTGCTACCCCTAATGGATACCAACATCCCCTCTTCTGGAAAAGCGACGGCCGGTACCACTCCCTTCGAGCCTGCGGAACGATGGAGGATCACCAAAAACGTCCTGGCGATCGGGTTCGCGTTCATGGTGCACTTCACCGCCTTCATGGGAGCCAGCAACCTGCAGAGCTCCATCAATGCCGACCACTCCTTGGGCACCTTCACTCTGGCTGCCATCTATGGGAGTCTGATCTTCAGCAACATCTTCCTGCCGGTCCTGATCATCAGGTACAGCGGATTCAAGTGTCAGGAAGGAAGAGATACGTACCCGTTACAAGATTTTCCATTTATAGGCTTGGAAACTGCCCAAATGGCGGAGTCCTAGCGAACGTTCACCCGTGCTGGGTCGCACATTTCCTCACCTTACCTGATCGGTTATTTCGCAAGTCAACCCACTATAAGTGGGCATGCTTTCCGGTCGAAAGACCTCGACCAGATTCCAGAGAAACTGAACTCCCTTGAGAGCAGCGTTCTCTGGGATGATGCCGGTCTTTTTGACCAAGGCATGATCCACTTGCTGTTGTTGGTGTTTGGGAACCTTTTTGATAGACTGGAAGGCGTTCCCTTTCAACTGGTTTTACTCCTTACAGTTGGGTTGGGTGCAAGTGGGCCATCTCTTTGTCATTCCTGGCATACGTGCCGTTCATAGCCGCCCAGTTCTACCCGAGGTTCTACACCATGATTCCTGCAGGCTTGGCCGTAGGTTTTGGTGGAGGACCTCTTTGGTGCGCTAAGTGCACGTATCTGACGGTGGTCTCGGAGGCCTATGCAACCCTCGCCGACGTCACTGCGGATGTCGTCGTGACGAGGTTCTTCGGCCTCTTCTTCATGTTCTATCAGCTGGCCCAGGTCTGGGGGAACCTCCTCTCGTCAGCAGGTAACGGCGGTCCCCGATTCTTGTCCCGCTTTCGTAGGCTCGTCCTAACAATTCTTCATTTTTCTCAGTCTTGTCCTACGGCGCGGAGGCAAGTGCAAACGCTACGAACGTGATCCTTAACGTCTCTGCCATCGCCGGGAAGTGCGGACCCAATTTCTGCGGACCTACTTCAGATGCCAGCGACAATCCCAATCTGAAGCCACCACCCGCTGAGAGAATCCACCTGATTTCTGGGATTTACCTGGGGTGCATGGTGCTGGCGTCTCTGATCGTCGCTTTCGGGGTAGATAACTTGGCGAGGTAGGTTTACTCGACTTAACGCGTTCTTGATTGCACCATATAAGCTGGAAACATGAGCTCGAATCTAGTTTAACTCGATATAAAGTAATACCAAGCGTTGCACAGGTACGACCGAGGAAGAGTCGGCTCGGGAACGGGACGGACAGGGTTCCAGTTACTGGCTGTCACCCTGAAGCTGTTGCGGGAAAAAAGTCAGCTGATGATCTTGCCGATTACGGTATTCATAGGAGCCGAGCAGGCATTTCTGTTTGCCGACTTCAACGTCGTAAGTTTGATAGTATTTATCTATTTACCACTACCGAGATTAGCCTACTCCACGGGGTTTTTCAGTCCTACGTATCCTGCGCATGGGGGGTCGAAAATGTCGGCTACGTCATGATTTGCTACGGAGTAGCTAATGCGATAGCTGCCTTGGCCACTGGCTCGATCATCAAAATGACCGGCCGAGTGCCGGTGATGGTGGTCGCCGTCGCCCTGCACATGGGGATCATGGTGGCTCTGCTCTTCTGGATACCCGACCCCCAGCAGAGCACCATCTTCTTCCTCTTTTCCGGCCTTTGGGGCGTCTGCGATGCTGTCTGGTTGGTGCAAGTTAACGGTGAGAATCGCATTGATCAAAGAATCCGATGGTAGCCATTTTGGTCCATTCTAAAAGGGTTCATCCTTTTTAAGCCCTAAGTAGCAGAGTTCCGTTTTCCGTTGCAGCTCTCAGCGGCATCCTGTTCCCGGGCAGCGAGGAGGCGGCTTATTCGAACTTCCGTTTGTGGGAGGCCACGGGATCCGTGGTAGCGTATGCATACAGTCCCTATTTGTGCACCGACATGAAGCTCTACATTCTGATGGTCATCCTAGGGGTCGGGATGGTGGGCTACGCGCTCATAGAACTCGTCGTCGGGGTAGGGCGGGTGCCGATTCGCGGCCCCGTCGAGAAAACGGAATTCGAGTTGGTCTCCACTGGAGAGGACCCACCTCGGTAACTTCCGCCGACGTTAAAGTGAAACTTACCTACGTGAACCGGGTTAACCGTGATCGGTTAATTGCATAGTTGGACCCAGTCCGAGCTTCGTCCCAATAAACCGGGTGACCGTTTTCTCTCGTTTGCCCTACTCTTTGAAAGAAAGCTCCCTGCTTTTTAAGATTCTTGTGGGAAAAGTCGTCCACATGGAAACCACTTGGCTAGGGAGACGTTAGGTGACGATTTTCCCGCTGGTCGGCGCTGCAGCCGGTCAGAGACGCCCTTTGACCTCTCGTACCACAATATATGCTTTTTTTATTTTATTCTTGTGGACACCTACTAGATCTTACATAGGCTTAAGGTGTAAATCCTCTCCGCCATTAAATACGTAGTTCAGCGTTACATCGCGGCTATGTATGTACTAACATTCATTCTAGAACTATGCCTTTTTATGGTCTAATTGTATACTCGTGTGCTCAACTGTCGAGTGTGCACGCAGCTGGCAATATGGCGTCGGGTCGCACCCCCTGGCATCTCGCGAAGCGATCGACGAAATGCCAGGGAACTGCCAAACGACGGACTGCCAGAATCTCGGTAGACATTAGCGGCGTTAGATTGCTCATCCAAATACTGGCTCGTACCCTATTTACATGCCAAGTTTAGCGGTTCGGTTACACTTTATAAAACGTAGTAGGAACTTTGGTTTCGCTGGGCAATGTTTAAAAAGAAAACAGTTCCCTCCCGGCGAATCGAGACCAACGGCGAGATCGGCGCGTCATTCCGCGCGGCGGCTTTTCAGAGTATATCACCATAGAAGCTGCGGCTAAAAGTCCTCCCGCGTTTATTTTACGGCAGAGTTGGCAGGCCTCCCCGGCCGTGGAGGCGCCCGCGAGACGCGCCGCCATTTTGAATCGCTTATAGCGAGACCTAGTGAACAACGGCTCCGCAAAAACAGTACCGTGGGGAGTCTTTCTCTCTCTTTCTGTAACCAGGGGTGTGGGTAACCGTAATCCTACGGAAGATGAACCGCCCGCAGCCGAGTGTGCGTCTCCTAGGTCGGAAATCGCTTGCCGAGTGTGCGCAGATAGACCTTCCGCCAAAGCGCTGTTTGGAGAACGCGTTTCATCCGTGCGCCCTGGGAGCAACGGAGCAACCGCTCATGTGTCGCAGCGGCAACTTTTGGACCACCTGGACCAGGTCACACCTCGGGAAGGTGGCGATCGGTGCAAACTAACAAGAAAATCGGCCGATTCGATCGCCATTCCGCGTCCTCGTCGCCATTTCCTCGTCCAACTACCGTGGTTCAGCGGTCGTTGCTCCCTGAAACAATTCGACGACCGCTTAAACCCTCTCCTGGCGAACGCGAATGCATTCCCTAGGGATATGGTATCGTCGGTGAAAGAAGGGTAGACATTAGCGTTCGCCAGTTTCAAAGAACAAGATGCCTCGTCTAAGCGGTACCGCTTCGCCGACCGCCATTTTAAATTCGGGGCGCGCTCCTCTTCGGCGCAGCGTGAACTCGGCAGGAGCTAGAAACGAAACCCACCACTCGCTTGCTCCGGGAACTTGCAACTATTATTATACACAGTGGTCTTTAATTGTAACCTGCGTAAGCCTCGTCATGATCTCAGGGTCCTTTAAATTAGCCGACTATCGGTTTTATCTAGGATAGTGAAATTAACGGAAGTGTCTTAACGCCTGTGTATATGTACATCGTGCCCCCCCACACTCGCGCACATCCGCCCTGTTCATCCGATTCTAATTACAGCCTAGTCGATTGCTCTCAGCCCGAGCAGAAGTTTGGTCGGCGATCGGACACCGACTTCGACTTCCTGCGAGGGAGTGTCCCGCGAGGGGGGCCATAGGAGAAAGCGTGCGCAAAAGAGAGAGAAAGCCGTCTTCCGCACCACACGATCCCTGGATCGCTCGCATGCACGCGCAGTCGCTCTTCCGCGACCTCAAGGTCTTCGGACAGCATTGCCGAGTATACCGAGAATGACCATCCGGATAATTCCGTAGGACTGTCTGGGGAAGTTCAAGGAAAACGACCCTCGAGGCCCCGACTCCCCGAAAACTCGCGTCAGCTCGCACCACGAAGATGACGCGTCTGGTTTGGGGGCGAAAGACCTTCTCCGGGTCGCAGATTTATCCGGATTCGACCGTGGGGGACTCTGGTCCGACCAACCGGTCGGATCGATCGGCGCCAGCGCCTTCAAGACCAGCCCACCCGGGCGGAAATGCGATGCCTTCGACCGGTACCGAGCACTCCATGGACAACTGCTGGCCACTCGCTGACCCGGTGACTCGTTTTCGCCATGGCTCCACTCTTGGCCTCTTACACCACCCCCTTGGACATCATCCGCACGGTGTTCTTCAATGCCTGCCTCTTGTTGCAAAACCAAATCCTTATCACCTCGCGATCGTAGCCCAACTGGTGAGCCAGAGTGGTAATCTCGTTTCCTAGTTGAAAATAGAACGTACGATAATTATAGTAATTTTAATCCCATTTTTACAAACTCGATCGTTATCCTTGCAGGACTGCTCACCTGATGGATGGGTGTTCCTTTCGAAGTTGGCGTTCAACAACTCCAGAGCCTGGGGAGTGAAAGAGGTTCGGCGTTTCCGTTTCTTGCTGGGCTCCACCCCGATGAAGTCGGTCAGGTGGTTGGCGCCGCTCTTGTACCTGAAAGTAGACGCGAAATATGCGTTAAGCTAATTAATCCGAATTTTGAGGTGTCGTAGAGCGACTTAGCGACCTCGAGTGTCAGTGACGAGCGGTCAGGGAGTAGCGCATTCGCTCTGTCGCTTCAATTTCCGGAGGGCGATGGGTGGCGGGTATTGGCTCGGCGGCGAGGACGCGAACTTTCGCGCCAGCGCGAGCCGCCCGGAATTTATGTGTTTAATTTGCTTCGAAATGACCGTCCATCGCGCGACAGAAAGTACCGGGAGGAAGGAGGCCGAGGGGAATTAGCATCGTAGGAGGATATTTCGTCGAATCCGCGAAAACAATATGCTAATGGAGAGCCCCGAGTGCGAAGCGGTGGCCGATGGCTCGCGGGCCGACCGGGCGGGAAAGGACGGTCGCCCTCCGCCCGGTAAGAGCGCTCCGAAGCGCGGGTATGCACATCGAAAACCTGATTTTAATTAGTCCACAGTTTAATTACTCGGCAGATAAATCGTGCACGTGCACCGCATAAAGCTGCTTCTATTTTTCCAGCCGGAGAGAGCTCCGATGACGAGGTCGCCCGCCCGGTCGGCGTCCTCGCATGGAGAGCGAACCTCGAGTCGACTGTTCCGACCGGTCACCGTCGTCGGAAATCGATCCTACACTACTCTGGCTCATTAGATCAAGAACCCGAAGAGCTTAGGTCCATTTGCCGCGCTCGAAATCGAGCTGCCCCACCGCCAGGCGGCGCCACGGTGCAACGATCCTCGACCGTTCATCCGTTCCATCGAATGAGAGAAAACGTAAGGAAGGAGGGAAAATTAACGGATCTACCTCGGAAATACATGATACCGATACCAGCGATAGAGCTAAGGTATTCACCCTGACGTCGGGAAACGATCAGTTAACCCGTTTTCTAATTTTATCTCATTTAATTTGAATTTATACCCGGCGCTGTATCTTTATAGGATGGTGAGCAGACGGCCCATGGTGGCGGCAATGCGTCTCGTTTACAGCGAGTCTGAGAGGCTCCTTCCTTGTATCATTTCTCATCCATTCCGGCTACCTTGGCAAGCGGTCAACTCGAGGTAAGCGATGATCGCGCAACAAGCGTTAGCGCGGCAACACGCGTTCGCACGCTCGGTCTTGACACTAGGTCACGACTTTGGCCTTCGACTTACCTCTCCTCGGCTTCCTTCATCCACCTTTCAAGGACGGGTTTTATTTTCTGGGCGCTCTTCGGCGTAATGTCCAGTTTTTCGAACCTAGAGCCAAGAACAAGAAGGGTGTAAAGAAGGGCGGACTGAGGGTACGCGGAGGCACTTGCGAAGCGCCCTGGCCGCGACTTCTAAGCGACTAGAAAGGAGCACTAAGGCATGCTTGTCGACTTGGTAACAGGACATTGACAATGCGTGCATGCGTGAGGTTTGGTGATGCCGCGTATGATGTTGCCAACGCGTCTTAACCGAGCGTGCGAGAGGTACGGTGGCCGGATGCGGACCGAGGGTGCACCCGCTAGTGTGCGCCATTGCGATCATCGACGGGAATTTCTCGCGTGTTGGCGACACCATGCCCAAGCTTGCCAATGCCCTGGCTCGGAGAGGTTATGTGTCTGTATGTGTATATATATTTTTATTCATTTATTTACCGTGCGAATATATATATATATATACACACATGTTCAAGTCTTTCACGAGTGCTCCTTTATCCGGAAGAGATTGGCGAGAGTAGCGAGAGCGAGTGCAGCTATACCCAAGCAGCGATATACCAGGTCCTGCCTGGATGCTGGGATCGCTGGGATTCGCACCGAAACGCGCCGCTGACAACCCTTTCCGACCCAAGAACGACTGGCAGACTCCCTTTGGGTATAGCTGCACCAACGGGGACTGCGCTAACGACTTTAGATCTTTCGCTGAATTAGGTATCACTGAGGGTCAACGTACATAGCTTGCTGCTGAGAGGCTATCTGCGAGGCAGCGTACATCTGGGTAGCCAGGGCACTGGGGAACAATCACCAATGCTTAAATTAGTCGATACGTCGAGAGTCCCTTCGATGCACCGACCGGTCGGTACCTTTCGGACAGTGGACGACTCGCACCACGGAAACGGAGCCTCCGTACCCGCCAAGGCAGTTCTCATCGAGTTCTTCGCCCGTTTCGACGTGGGCGACGCCGGCGACGCGTCGACCCGTGGAACTCCACCGTCGAGCTCGACCTCGCGTCGACGCGCCGTGGCAGCGTCCTTACCCTCGGAAACTCCCATTCGAAGCAAGCCGGTGTTCACCGGACCGATAAGGATCATCACCACATCGGAAAGAGCGCAGGGCGAGAGACAATGTAGGGGTCTTCTCCCGCCGACCTGACCGTTCGCGAATGTTTCTTAATTTTTAATATATATATATTCTGTTTTTCTCTTTCTGTGTACGCCTCACTCGCTGCTTCCAATGGACCGTTTCCGAGAGTGCCGAGCTCCTAGAGCGGCGATAAGCGAATCAACGCGACCGACCCTCGACCAAGAGTCTTCCCCTGGGGTGCACTCTAATTTACGGCCGCGACCGTTTCCAGTGACCTGGCACAAGTGGTCGTCGTCGATTCGCTCTGGCTTGCCTCGAGTGATCATCAGTTCGGCAACTTATCGAATCGACAACTTCCTCTCACCTGCAGATCGCGCTTTGACTGTAGGCCGGCCCTTCCGTGACGCTGAGGGCCTGGCCCACCTGGGTCTGCGTCAGGCCCAGCGACAGTCGGCGCAGCTTGAAGGCCTTGGCGAACTCCTTGATCTCGTCAAGGTTTATCCCGTCGACGACGTTGTTGGTGGCTTCGTTGATGGTCGGTTGATCTGGAAAGGTCGACCCGTGACTACGCGCGAAGGAACCTTGGAATGAAAGACGACGGATGCCAGCCCTCCACTTACTGGGAGAGTCGCTGAGCAGGTCGTCCTCCTCGTCCCTTGGGCTGTGCAAGCTGCTGGGAGACGCCTTGACCGTGGTTCCACCACTCAGACCGTGGCCACCGGTCGTCGTGATGGTGATCTCCCCGTTGCTGGCGGCAAGCCTGTTCAGGGCGGATGCTGCAGAGACCACGGACCCGTTCATCGGAGATGACTGTTCCGGTCTGTCTCGATGGTGCTTGTCAGTGGGCTGAGGACGCGAAACCGAGACTTTTTAACTTGTTCCTTGGTGGAGCGCGACGTCCCATCAACAATGGTACCGACTAGGCCCATGGAACATACCGCATAATGGTTTGGATGTGAAGAACCACCGTGTCGATGAGCGTGCTGCTGAGGGGAGGTCGTCAGCAGCGGTTGCTGCGAAGCCTGGGCCGCCTGAGCAGCCTGGGCTGCCTGTGCCTGAGCCTGAGCTGCCTGAGCAGCCTGAAGAAGCTGCTGAGGCTGCATAGCACTCAGCAGCTGCTGGCCTGCCGACCCATTGCCCAGCAGATGGGGCAGCGCTGCAGGGTTCAACCCCAAACTCGACGCCAAGCCGGGACTCGTAGGAACTGCACGGTCCATCAAGAAACCAACGGAAACGCCTCAGCATCTCGCATCTCCGAAGAGTGCCATCCTTCCTGGACCTACTTACCGTTGCTGGGCGGGGGGTTCATCAGGTTCTGCGGCTGGGCGATGGACTGCAAGTTCGCCAGGGTTGTGGACACCACTTGGCCGTTGCTCAGGGCCAGGTTGACCATTTGGTTGTTCGTCACGTGGCTTACGGGGATGGTCAGGATCGTCTGAGTGGCGATTCCTGAAATTATCGAGCCGACCCAAATTGGAGAACGGGGGAAGTGTTATTGCTCGAAGGGGATGAAGAATTTAGAGAAGCTTTGCTGGGGGTGGTTCGTGGGACACTGGCCACAACTTTCTCGGGTATTTTCCCGGCTTTCAGGGAAAACGTGGAGCGGCGTCATTGGCGGGATCGGCGCACGCGTGTCGCGAGTGGCAAGGTGGGTGCTGCGAGGAGGATGTTGAAGTTGCCGAAGCATCATAGAGGGATTATTATTAGGCGACCCCATAGGGCGGGTAACCTCGCAGGCCGTAGCGTAGTTGGCAAACTATTATCGCCGTCTTAACGGCGGTAGGTACGCCGGTACTGGCTCGGAACCGAGCAGCGAGAAGGACGCCTAATCATACTTGGAATAGTTTCGGGATTACCTCCAGTACCGCTAATCTGATTACCGAGCACGCGCGCTTAATGTGATTACCGATCGCGAGTAAATGCGGCCGAGCCGGACCTATCCAACTCTAGTGGTTAGCTAAGGCCAACTGATAAGAGATGGTCAGCCGAAAATCTGTCGAATCGTAAATTGTCGGCATCGGCGTTCCATTGTTAGGACAACCAGCACCACTACCAACTAGGGAAACATCGCCTCATAATCAACCACACGAAATCTCGTCGATTTAAAATTGCCACGCTGGCTAAAATTCTAGGCCCGACTGAACACTAACCGGGGTCCAAATCTTTAGCTCCTTGGAATAATTTTAAATTAGGAACCCCATATTAATTCGACCAGTGGACTGAAACTACTGACGCCAGGGACCTCCCAGGGTTTCCTCCCTGATCCTCTACAGCGATGACGGTCATACCGCGGACTTTGTCATGGGGTCAAGCAGAAGTTCCTCGGGGGCTCCTCCTCGCCCTTCCCAAAGCTCGTACTTCCGTCTTTTGTCAGGGAGTCCAAGTGGGAGGTCTCGGACTGGTCCGGTCCGATGGAGCCTGAAGCAAAGGGCAGCGGCGCCTCGGTTTCCCGGGTCTGGGCTGCGCGGCGATCGCGTCCGGAGCGTATCCCCAACTTCGATCCACTTGGGAGGAACCCAGGAGTTGCCCGATTGCCGGAATAGAACCAACTTGGTGGAGAAACGAAGTTAGCGACGACCGCAATCGATATAATAGCGGGCAAATCCGTCGCGGGCTTGCGACGTCCAGCGTGAGAGAGGGAACGGTGCGGCGGTGTGGAGTCGAAGCCGAGTCGGGTCGGGCAGGGTCGAGAAGAGGAGGGTCGACCCAGACCTGGGAAGAGCGGAGGGTTGGGGCTCCATGGTAGTGAGACGTTAATTATACATTGAAATTAGTTGCGGAGTTTGCCCTCTGCTCGCCGAGGTAGTCTAGGGCCGCTAAATACGGACACTACGGACGGCCCGGTTTCGGTCCAAGCCGGACCAGAGATAGCCAAGCGGCAGGGATTAACGCGGCAGGTGCGGGTGGAACCTCCTCTGGAGGGAATCTTCGGATCGCGAGGAAGAGGTTCTCCGGAATGGGTCTGGGACCACCATGCCTCTACGACTTGCGCCTAGAACCGATGAAAATTCAAAGTGAACTCACCTTGCGAGGTCGGGATCAGCAGTTGGGCCCCTTGGATCCCCTGCACGAGCTGACCGGACGTCAGGATGAACTGCGGCATCGCCACGGGCTGCGGCTGCGACAGGAGCTGGGGCAGCGTCGCCATGGGCGCAGAACTGGGTGGCAGTGCATGGGGACCAGCCGCCGTGCTCGAGGCGGTGGGTATCGTTCCTGGTAAAAGAAAGCCTTCTCTTTGGTGAACGGCCAATGTCTAGGGTCATCCTAGGACACCCTACGATCTGGTTCCCTGGCCTTTTGGGGAACCGGAGGCCCTGGGTCTTCGTATGGGTTGCTCTAAACTGAGATATTTCTGTATAAAAAATCAGGCTTACCCGATGAGCTGACCGTCAGGTTCAGGGGTGCGTTGATGAGCTGACTGTTGGCCAGGCCGGCCGTCATCCCTTGGAGTCCTGCCGCCAGAGAGGCCACCTGGGGCAGGTTCTGCAGGTTGGCTAGATTCTGCAGGTTTTGAAGCGTCACCATGCCTGCCACTGAAAGGATCGACGTGAATTATCGGGGGAGAAAAAAATGTTCGGCGACGAGAAGAAGGATCTTCGTTACGTACTCGTCCCGTTCAAGTGCGCCTGAGCCTGGGCTTGGGCTGCAGCCTTGGCTGCATGATCCATGGCCTCGGTCGGCGTGCCTGGCTCCCTCCGGGGTGAATCTCCGATACCACCCATCATCGCTCTATGTTCGTGCATCACTCCCGAACCTGGTTCAGGACTTCCAGCGCTACTCCTATCGCTATCCTGAAACATGCCAAATTGTGACCCGTTAAGGACCCCTGCGTCCCCTTGGGCTCCCAAATTCGTACACCGCGCTCGGGCTGGGTACTCCCTCCCCAGTCAGAAAGGGGAAACGAGGTACACGTGTACGTGTATCCTTCCCCACGTGTGCGTTCCTCTGGATCACTCTCGTGATCCTCCGGCGCGTGGAAAATGCGAGGCTCTCCCTCTCTCGCAATAAAGTAATTTAACTGTTTGAATTATGGGTAATTCGTACGGAGCCGCTCGGTCCGCCCATTGATTAGTATTAATGACTTAGCTGCACTCATTTCGCCCGAATAAAAGTAATTGGATTTGGCTTCGACCCCGGTGGCGGCCGGCGAAACCGTGCGTCCGTGTAAAAATGCATTAATATCCGTTTGCGCTTAATAAACGATAGCGCGCAGCGGACTCGAGACTAATGGTCCCCTACCGCCCTGTTCTCGAATCGTTTAATTCCCTCGCCCGGAAGACGGGTTAAGGAGCACTGGCACTGGGCTCGCTTTTGATAAACCTGGAAGAAGTGTCGTCGAGCACCGGTGAAAATTTAAACCTCAGGTTATACATACATATGCACATTTTCTGCACGACCGGCATTTTAATATATTTTATAATTAAGTATCACTCCTCGTTGCTTGGGTTTTTTTTATCACCTCCAGCCGATAGAGGAGAGGGTACTTTAATTTATTAATAATATTAGGCAGTGGTTTTTAGAAACTTAAGTCATCGTCAATCGGGACAGTGTCTATCGTCGGCTAGTACCATCTTCCTCGGGACGGATGGGGCACTAGCCCCTTGGCGTCCGTAAGTGTAATTAGTCCGGAGCGGGTTTTCTGGCGAGGGCTCCGTCGTAGAAGGGGCCCCCCGCGCCTTATTTATATGCAAATGAGCTTCGTTTCGCGATATTAATGTTCCCCACCCCGAGGCGCCCCGGCGCGAGGGATGCGCAAGAGGGGCGCCAAGTATCCATGCGCGCCCCGCAACCCTGCCGCAAACGGTAGCGCGGTTCCGCACGTCCACCGGACAGGCCGACTCGACGGAGAAGAGGGAACTCTTCCCTAACTCCTACACCCGCTTCAACCGGGATGTCCTAATATTAAATTGGGCTCCCTTTTCTCATTCCTTCTCGTACCTTTCGATCCAAAATGGATTCCCAATTCGGTCGGTAGATTCTCTCGTTCGGGGCGAAAGGGGGTAATGCCGCGAAAATCTATTCCCACTCGGTCGTTCGATACGGAGGGCTATGCCTTCGCAGGGAAGGGGGTCAGCCCCTGCGGCAGGGACGAAGGGAGGCGGCCAGGTTAGGGGAGGTCTGACCGACGTATGAATATACATGACCCGAAACGCCAACCCTTACGCCACAACGGAGCTCCGCTTACATTATTGTATATCTAATTCCGCGAGCGGTGCTCGAAACTCCGAGGCCGACGCCAGGGTGTGACTCGCGTATCTCCGCACCCTGTCGCGACCGTAGACCGCGACCGGGTTCCGCGGTTCCCCTGGTGGAGGACCACTGCCGGCGAGCGATATTATGCAGGCAGTCTACATATTATACATTCGGCCGGGGATTCAATTAAGTTTCGTCCGACCATCCCCCGTAAGGATTCGCGGTGAGGTGTCGTTGGTTTTGGGGGTGCGTGGGTGGAGGGTGGGACTGGAGAAAGAAGCCGAAGACTCGCCGCGGACGAGGCCGTTGACACCGGTACCGGGGAAAAACCGGACGCGATTCGCCGGTTATCCGGCAGAATAGAATTTATTATCACAATCGCGTTCCCTTATCAAAGACGGTCAAGACGCCCGATAACCGCGTCTCGATGTGGGAACGCGGTTAGGAGAGCCGGTGGATCTCTCTCTTTTTTTTTTTAAATCCCCTCCGGGTGGTAGGTTTCATCCCCCCTCCGGTCTGCGCGACAACGCAAAGGAGAGCGGAAAAAAAAAAAAATCGGGAAAAAACCGATAATCGCATTTTTCGAGGGAAAATGGCCATTTTTCAGTATGGGGTACCCCTGACAGAGTTTAGCCCCGAATTTTTACGGCATGTCGCGGCGGGAGCTGCAGGGACGTGCGCGACGCTGACGTCACGACGTCACCGATAACGATAACGATGACGGTGGTGACGTTGCCATCCGCAGGTCGCGGACGATCGCAGCGCCTCGGTGGCCGAACGGGTGAAGCGAGGTACAAGGACCGCGCGATAATGACAGAAAATTGCGCTCTCCTAGCTTACACCGCACGCCGACACTTAATTCAATTCGATTGCGATACAGTTCAATAATTCGATTAATTAAAAAATATCCCAGTGCCTCTCGCCTTGCCGGGTCTCGAGTGACGCGGGTGCGATGCACCCCTCGAGCTGGTCGGTTGAGGGGCACTGCCAGTTGCCGCTATCGGTGGGGATTTAGCTGATAGCTGGATCCCATCTACCACTCGATATTCCCGCATCATCTGCGATCACTCGATTATGAGTTTTCGAGCGGCCGATGTTTCTGATATTCCGAGTGGCGAAGAGGCGCCGCCACCCTGGGGGCAAAATGGAGAGCGCTAGGAGGCGTCGCGCGACGACTCTTTCTGTCGACCTTTTCCTCGGGAAAAGCAGTACCGGCCCTGAAACCGAGCTCGGCTCGGTCGGCTTTAACGAGGGCGACCCAGTCGGCCTCCTGCCCGGACCTCCATCTGGACGCTCTTCTTAGGAGCGCGATGGAGGCGGCCATTTTGTTGAACGAGCGTCGGGCCAAGTTGACGCGCCCGTGTCCATGGTTCCGCGTGAATGGCGGGAGAATTGAACGTTAATTTGCGCATTTCGCGTGTCGGGGGCAATTCGTCGGTTCAGTAGGTCCCGCGCCTCCGGTTTATTTACGGTGAAAACGGTGTAATAGGTAGACCTACTCGAGGGCCATGTTTAGCACAGGGCGCCGGTATACAATATCTTTTTAGACGCGTTAATTAAGACTATTCATTTTGCACAAAGGTTTCTAATTACGCCCTGTATGGAGCCGCGGACTTAGCGGGGCGTCAGCACGCGGATGTTATGTCCAAAATGGCGGAAGGGTCGAGCTAAGAAAACTGAGGAACGACGCGCTGTCGATATACGAGGGCTCCACTCGTTCGGACTAATCAATTCCGGCCAATTACCGCGTACGGTCCCTGTCAATTAGCTGCCAACCTTACGGGGCCAACGAGCCGGTGACACGGTCCGCCCGGGAAGTAAGGCAGCCAATAGTTGTCCGACTGATTCAGCCGGCAGTCGCATTAATTAATTATAATTAAGTTTTAGTTGACGTGCCCGGGGAAGGGGTAAGCAAGGAAGGTAGCTACGCGACTCGCATTTTGAACATTACCGATATTATGCAGATTTCGCCCGGCAGGGGTCCGACGGTACATCTACCGCTTCTGCTCGCAGCACTTGCCAAGCGAGTTAGGGGATGAATTATTTACTTATTTACGCTACGTAAACACGAACTTACGCGTAATTTATTCGCGTCTACGTACGCGGAATGGAGCGCGAGCTCGAGCCTCGACGTCTTCACCTTTCGCGCAATTCCACGCCCTCCACCCATTTCGCGATTCGCCGCCATCTTGGATAATCGGTGCCTCCAAACTCTCGGTCTGCAAAACCTCGAGCTCGAATCTTGGGCGGGCACTTGCTATCCAGTCCGTTCCCGTGCCAAGCACGCGTTTAACGCCCATAACGATGGGTATCTTCTCTCAGGGGTTAATGAAAAATTGTTGAAACGCGTCGCGACGGCGCGGCCCTCCTTCGGGGCTAGCCGGCTGTCGGCGTTGGCGTAAAATGGCCGCCGGGACGTCGGGGACGCTTCGATGGGAGTAAAAGCGGCGGCTTTACGTCGCCGTAAGAAGCTGTTAATCTTCGGTAATAAACTGTATTTTCATTATAATACAGCATGAATATGCAACGACGATAATGGCCTTAATATCCCCGCATGCATCTTCCGGTGCTTTACAAGCTGATCCTCTTCCGCCTGAATTGGAGACGCCCTCGGTTAGATCGATCGCTCGAAGGATCTTCACTCCGATGAAGGCACCCTCCGAAAGTAGGGAAACAATTTCTAAGTCTTTCAAAAAATTTTCTGAAGGCCAGAATGACGATCAACCGTCGACTAGGATCCAGACGCGTCGTAAGGGAGGATTCTTACGACTTCTGGAGTCGCGTATTGGAGGTCGCTCGTCTCTGCACGCGGCCATTTCCGGTCCACCGGATTCGGGGATTTCTTTTCGGAGCTCCGTGGTGAAGTGCTCCGGGGGTGGGGGGGGGGGGTCGCGAGGTCCCTGGGAGGGTAAAAGGGGTGCAAAGAAACGCAAGGCCACGCTCGACTCGTCACGCTGATCGATCCCCTGTCCATGGCCCCGGGCCCTCTCTTCTTCGGCGCTTTGTACGATAAATTTTGAATGCACGCGCGGCGAATTAGCGGTCTTTTGATAATGATCAAAAAATTATAAACAAAAGATTCCACGGATGGCGAGTCTTTTTCGTGGGTCAGCGAGGCAAACGGGGCTTTGCGGGAGGCTTTGAGGTTGTTTCGTCGCTCGGCCGTCATTGGCCTCCAAACCTGCGGTGCTATATTTAATAAAAATGGGAGCGCTCTCCTGGAAATTCCCTACAAGCTACAAAGAGAGGGCGCGCGCGAGCGAGAGCCAGAGAGAGGGAGAAAGAGACTGCCGAGGTGCACCCTGAAGCGGCGTTGTTTCACGCTCGGCTAAAAAGTGACGTCGATTTCCGGATCCGACCAGGCCTTCCGGGTTGGACGTAGCCGAACGCCTGACACACTTCGGAATATTCTTCTAAAAAATGTAAATTGACCAGCGCCTTGTATCAAGGTCCAGGGGACGTAAGATATCGATAAGGTCGTGGATGGTCCTTGGTCACCTTCTAACCTACTACCCAACACCCCAGTAGACCTAAGCGAATGGTCAAGAGAGGTGGAGTAGGTGGCTCAAGCCCACCAGAGTGTCGAAAATAGTCGGGA